ACACACACACACACACACACACACACACACACACACACACACACACATTTAGTATACATTTTAGAAATTGACCTATAGTAAGTGCAAGACACAAATGCACACATTCATTATCCGCCCCAAACTAAATCTGCTCATGAGCTTATTAGGTGGTGCTGCTGTGGTTGTTGTCGCTGTGCTCCCACGCTGTGTCATTGTCTGCTGGACCGCATTCACTTGCAAGGAAACAGAACATCCTGACACGGATCCTGAACCTCAGCCAAGTCGGCCTCTCTGCTCGTGAACCAAACCTCCGGGACAAACTGGGTAAGGGTTATTAACCGAGCCCTTCTGCTTCTGCTAGTTACTGTTGATACATGAATAACACTACACCACGAGTACATACATACACACACACACACACACTCAGGCTCTTACACGAATTTAGAACTGTTGGAGCAGTCGCAGCTTGACTGAAAACCGCGGGAGTCGAGGCATGCAAGGAGTGCATCCATAATAGATGGAGTTGTAAAAAAAGAGAGACTACCTTAATTCACTTAAAAGAGTTCAGACATATGGAGGTGTGCTCACTCATGTATTTAATACAGTAGTTACAGTGAGAATCCAAAGGGTTTGAGCAGCATACACTCTTATCTTAAAGCTGCTCTAATCAATATTTTTTTATTAAAAATGGATTTAAAACACAGTTTAATGTGTGACCCACATATCGTTATCAGGTGACTCTGCTTCACAGTACTTTTTTACCATCTTTCAGCTAATTGTGAGCTTTTAGCAGCTGAACCGCCTGATATTTCCCTCAGGAGATGATGGAGACCAAACAGAGCTAGAGGTAAATCAAACCAGGTGGATACACAACTCATAATGAATGTTTGCTTACACTCACCATATTAACTTTAGAAACGTGATAATATGCGATATGTCAAAGCACACAGTCTCTGTCAGACACATATTATGACTAGGTTGGGTTTACAGCTCGCTGTGCTCAATCCAAGTGGTAAAAAAAGCCAACGACTGCAGGTTTAAATGATAAATATGTTTGGGAATATAAGATTTCTGAATGACATGGAATTTGCAAAGCCTCACTATTTTGCCAACTGCCACACCCAGCCCCTTGTGAACCCAATATGAAGCCCGTCCCGCTGAGCCCGACCGATCTAACCGAGATGTATCCCGCTACACCACCGCAAGGTCAAGGGCAGAGAGGCCACTTGGCAGCCAGATGAGGATCTTCTTCCTCGCTGCTGTCAGTCATCATCAACCACATTGGCTGGCTGAGCACACACCTCCCTCTGGATCAATAGAAACAGGATCACGGGTCCAGGCAGAGGGGGAAGGATTTAGAGATTGCTCTGGTCCTGCCAGTTAAGATAAGAACTGGACTGAATGGGGGGGGGGGGCATAATTACAGAGATATTCAGAATTTAACATGTTCGCAGTCTTATTCCACACACCGCTGCAAGTATGAATTATGTTTACACCAAACGTCGGTGTCAGCTGAACTAACTCACACACACACACAACATGGGTTTGATTCCACCGATACTGCTATATCCATCATTAGGCACTATAGAACGGCAAAGATAAGTCAATTAATCGCTAGTCAATCGACAACAAAATATGATTTTGATAAAAGGATCAATCATTTGAGTAATTTTAGATAAAATGCCAAATATTCTCTGGTGTCAGTTTCTCAAATGTCAAGATTTTTGCGTCTCTTTGTCTTTTTATGACTGAATGTATTTGCATTTAATCACATAAAATGAGTTATTTTAATATGTCACCTTTAGTTCTGGAATATTGTGAACATTTTACAAACAAAACAATTCGTAAAGAAAGTAACAACAGATGAATCCATAATGAAAATGACTGTTATACTCTATATCTTCATCGATATAGATCATCTTTTTGTTCTGTTACAAAAAGCAGGAGAGAAAATACGGCAGCACACGCAGCAGGAGATTGATTTCATGACAGCACTCTCTTGATCTGAAGCGTTTCCTCTTTAGACCACTGTGACACAACTCTGCTGAAACACTGTCACTATGGCAACCGGCAGAGTGGATGCAGAGACGGCGGTCTCCACAAGGCTGCAGCTCAGCAGGAACACACAGCATACTGTACACGAGGGGAAGTACTTCAGCAGAGTGTTCCCCATCTCTCAAGGGGAACATGAGGAGATGGTGAGGTCTGTTCCTACAGCCATCGTTTACGTCCAGACGAATGATTGATACACGCTGGGGCTTTCAAGTGGAGAAAAGCTGAGGAGGCGTATGTTAATTCACCTACAAGGCATGTTTTGAACCGGCAAGGCTTTCTGTAGCAATGAAGGGGAGTGCTGGACTGGTAATTAAAAGCTTTCATTAATAGTAGGAAGGAAATCTGTCAGCACTGCTTAACGTTGGCGCAGCAGGAAGGAACAAGACAAGGGGATGACATAGTGAGAGGGGCAAGTATATACCATGAAGCTAGTGGTAGTCATATAAATCCAGAAAAGACCTGTTCTGATCAAATATGGAACTGTTTGCCTTCAGAGCAAAGCACAGAAACTAAGGAGCAGCCAATCTAGAGCTGCAATAAGTATTTATGGGAATCTAGGGAGCCGGACCAATTAATCTGAAATGTCATTAATGTGGCAGCCTTCATAAGTTAAAACTGCACAAATACATTGATTCAGTTGCAGCTAAATCTGTATTTGCACTTGAGTGGAACTGAATGATTGCACTTTTTCTACTGCTAATCATTGGTAATGGTAATGGCTTCCATTTGTTTTGGCCTGATGGGAATTTCTGCCATTCTACCATTTGTTCTGCACTGCTGCATTCAATTCAGCGAATGACTGACAGGCCAGTGATTAATTCACTCTGGTGAGTTGGTCACAGGATGGCACAACAATGGCTCTGGTTCCCAGTGGACGGGGCTGGGATTACTAACTTAACTGTAGAGATGAAGGCTGTGTTTTTATTCTCCCTTCGAATCAAATGCATTCTTATGGTGAGCACAGGAATAGTCCTGTGTGCACTAACCCGGGACACAGTTCAGACAGATAACACACTCTGCAAGCCACCCCCTGTTCAATCGAGTAGTCTCCCTGCAGTGGTTGCAAGTGGCATGTGAAAGCATGTGGAGAGGGTGAAATCATGACTGCTTCAATTTAGGAAAGTATACATGTATCCTATGAATCAGGTGGCGAGATGAAGAGCATTGTGGGCTACTGTCTGACTACTGAGGGATAAGGAAAATAACTGATGCCCTTCAAAGTGACCACTGATGATGTGTGCAGTAAAAATAAACACATGTTTGAATGTACAACAATTAACATAATATTTGAAATCACATAAAAACAAACCCTCGTTTTGTTTATAGACACCAAACAGTAACAATGCAAATATTGTATGGGGGGGAAGGCAAAACGTGAGCCCTTTGCAGCGCCTCTGTTGTTGGCCAGACAGTGCCCTTTGTGAACATTACAGATTCAAGTCACACACACACACACACACACACACACACATCTGTACACAGACAATGTGGTGTCACCGATCAGGAGTCAGGCATCATGACTGCTAGCATGCAGCTTATAGCTAACAAACGGCGTTGGGCTGAATGAAGACGGCTTAAGTGTCTCCCTACCTTTCAGCACCACCACCACCTCGGTACCGGCTGCATCCTCCCCCTCCGCTCCGCCGCTGCTGGTCGGGGGCTCGTCTCCCTCAAACAGCTGGTTCACCTCCCCCTGGATGTCTGAGGGGCGCCGGGCGCCGTCGCTCTTGCAGACGGTGAATCTCTGGCTCATGGTTGTCGCCGGTGAGACCAGCGACGGGTCCTCTTGCCACGGTGACTGGGTGATGGACAAAGGCAGCAGGGAAAAGCGCTCTCTTCTCTCGTTGCTGCAGGTCCAGCTTCACCGTCTGATAAGTTTTCCTCAGACTGCACGGAGCGAACAGCAGCTCTGTGTCGGGTAATTGACGCTAGATGTGTGATACCGAATGGACCGTCTCATCAACCGGTGGCTGGTGCTGCCGCTGCTCCTGGGTCCTAGAGCCGACGGGTTTGTGGCGCCGCTTTGAGGAAAACGTAAACACACAAAAATCACACTTTGTTATACTTAAGCTACACCGTAGCATATACAGTAATCTAAATAAAGCTCCACCTTTACCCGCACAAGTGATGTAGCTACATAATGCAACAGTAATAATAACCTAGTAATATGATTGAAATAGCCACTCTGACTCTACATACTTCTGCATATATTTTTTTGTACTTTGCCCTTTTTGCTCAGTAAAACATCTGAATACTTCTTCCACCTCTGACAACCAGACAGGACCCTCCCACCCCATAAATCTGAGGGCACTATTCTTATGTTGTGTCAGCTGTTTTATGCTAATTTAATTAAACATCAGTCGGGCCCAATGGCTGATTTTGCCCCAGTGCCACCAGGTTAATCAAGTCCTAGTTTCAGTGGTTTGCATCAAAGGTAGTGTGGTGTTAAGCTTTGAACATGAAGGAGTTGGCCGATCACTGAAAAGAAACAATCCGACTTGATTCATTTCATTTCACTTTGATTAATTTATTCTATTTGAATTGCTGGAAAAATCTGAGCTGAGGGAGTGTTGCTCTTTCACATTCCCCATCCAAACAAGGCTCTTCCAAACAGACACTTTGATTTGTCAGAAAAGGAAAAGTTCATTAACATTAACAATGACTCTGCTCTATCCAAGTGTCCCAGTAAACCATGACAGTGAGCCGGCAGCTTGCAACAGCTGGACCCAAAAACCCTAAATTGGTCATTCATTATTGTTGTTCTTACTGTGGCATGTACACATGTCCTCCTGATGGTAAAGCCTAATTTTGTTTGGTCCAGAATCAAACCAGCTCCCGTCACAAGCAAGCATCTCACCGGGAAACATGACGTGATATGTCTGAAGCACATAACAGTTTTTGAATAATTATCATTTAGCCAGATTTAGTTTTGTCTTTCTTACAATGATGCAAAATTACACAATAGATTCAGACAATGAAAAGACATTGTTCTTATTTCTGTCAACCATGTACAGATTTAGTTATGAAGGGGTTCAACTCTGTAACATTATTTTATTGTGGATGAACATCAAATATAAGACCATGGGGAAGGGCATCCCTGATTTAAATTCATTGTATAGCTGTTTAGCTAAACATAATGTATTCCAATGTCACAGATCTGCAATAACTCTTTCACAAAGCTTATTAGAATCTTTTTTTTCTTGCTGTGTCATAGTGACGTGAATCCTATTCAAGGGTTTAACGAAAGCTGGGTTTGTGATTTCCAATTGTATTACTCTATATTAAAAGTGTTTCCATTATTTTGACTCCATGTATGTCAGTGATCCCATACATGGGGATTGACAGGTTCATATTAACTGAAGTGTGTACATGTCCGCTTGTCATATAGCAGGCAGTCCTCAAGTGTAGCATTAACAACTTTATTAGCCTTACCGTGTCAGTAAATTGTGTTACTGAGCCAGCTTGCACAGTAACATTGCTCTAAAACTGCAACTAAATAGGGAACTGAACCAGGACTTCATAGGATGATGCCAGCGGAACCCCCTCCAGATTAACTCTGGTAAAACCAAAGAGCTGGTGGTGGACTTCCGCCCTGGGTAAACGCTCTCCTCCGGTACCAGTGAACATCCAGGGAACGGACATTGAGTGTGAGATCTTATAAGTACCTGGGTGTTCAGTTGAACAATAAACTGGACTGGACTAACCACATACACACACTCTATAAAAAGGGTCAGAGCAGACTCTATCTGCTGAGGAGACTGAGGTCTTTTGGAGTACAGGGAGCACTCCTGAGGACCTTCTTTGGCTCCGTGGTGGCATCAGCCATTTTCTATGGAGTGGTCTGCTGGGGCAGCAGCATCTCGACCGACTAGAAGAGACTGAACAAACTCGTCAAGAAGGCCAGCAGTGTGCTGGGGTGTCCACTGGATACAGTGGAGGTGGTGGGAGACAGGAGGATGATGGCTAAGCTATCATCCCTGATGAACAACACCTCTCACCCCATGCGGGATGCCCTGGCAGCTCTGTGCAGCTTCTTCAGCCACCGGCTGATTCACCCCCGGTTTGTGAAGGAGAGGTACCGCAGGTCCTTCCTTCCTGCTGCTGTCAGGCTGCAGCTGTGCTCCCAGTAGACCACACAACAAACACTAACAACACTATAAAAAATCGGTGCAATAATTACACTGCGCAATAAAAAAATACTCTGTCTGTATATATAATATTTTTATTTCATTTTATTTTATTTTTAGTTATATTTAGTTATTGTGGATTTTTGTACTTGTTTTTTTTTTTTTTACTTAGTTGATATTCTTTACTGTTTATTACTTATTTATAATACTTGCTGCTTTTGTTTCTTTTTTCTTTTTTCTTTTTTACCATGTACCTTGTGTGCACTGTCCACTTTGCTGCTGTGATCCTGTACATTTCCCCATTGCGGGACTAATAAAGGATTATCTTATCTTATCTTAATAAGAGATCCCACTAACCAGCACTAACCATGCCTTTGAGCTAATATTACACCTGTACTTTCAGGTTGTCAAGAACTATTTAATTGCAATCCGATAACTCAAAACACATTTTAAATCAAAGTGTAAAGGGTGAAACTCTTTTTAAATTTAATTTTGATTTATCATTAAACACAAGTCTTGATCCAAAACACTTTAGCACAAATACAAATAACCACACATCGGCGAGTTCATTTGTAGACACATCTCATATTATTTGATGTGAATCAGAGAAACATTTGTTATTTTCACCACAACTGGGAAGTCTAAAAATGTGTTTCAGATCCATCAGCAGGCTGAGTTTAAATATTTCTTTATAAAACTCTCTGTCTGTATTGCACAAGTCTGTCACAATTTACTAATCATTTATTCATTAAAAATGGAAAAGAAAAGGGACAAAAGAAATCAATGTTACAATGAATAAACCTTATTCATTAGTATATCCGGTATTATTGATGATGCTGAATTGTCTAAAAGAGAGAATATACTGTCTTTGCTGTAAAAAGCACCATAGAGTAAAAACCTAAATCAAGGAAAAAGGGGTTTGAGGGTGTATTAACAGAAAATCAAGCTGTAATAATTCCCTTCAAAATGAAAAAAAGTCAGACCAACTTTGCTGAGTCCACTGAAGGGCAGCGTCGGGGAAAGAATAAAAAGTCTCTGTGAGACACTTGAGTTGCAAAGTATACGTGTTTTTGATTCTTTCAAAGATCAAGGATGATAATCTTGACGTATCGTCCTCATCTTCAAGTGACAGGCAGTTTTTATAATCTGTGAATGGAGCAAAAAAGAAAATAAGAAAAAGTACTGACAACATCAATAAAACCATATTATATTGAATTCTCTAATGTACATGGCAATTTATAACAACCCGACAATACATTTTTATAAATCCATGTATTGCATATTAGATATGGCACTGCAGAGAATAATAATAATAATAATATTTATGATAATAATAACAATAATAATTATAATAATAGGTTTGTATCACTATCATGGTGTAGCGCCACACTCCCTCTCTTTTCAAATACTGACTGCAAAGACATCGTACTCTTTTTTCATGTCTCACCGTGATCAGAGTCAAAGGCCTGTGGTTTGGACCAGCCGAGACAACCTGCCTGTGACTCAAACTCCTTCAGCTCAGCATCAGTGACATTCTGTCTCCTACCTGTTAAAGAGGGGACACATTGGAGGTGAAAGCCTGGTCTACACCAGTAACAGCTCACTCAGTGCGTGTTTAAAGTGCATGCTATTAAAGGCCTGTTAGAGATGAAAACAAAATACAGTAATATTGGTGAGCAATACTTTCAGGATGTTAAGGTCTGTTTGTCAGTGGGTTCACCACTTCCAGACTGAAATATCTCAACGACTATCAGATGGATTGCCTTCCAGTTTTGTCCAGACATTCATGTTCTCCTCTCGGTGAATTGTAATAACTCGGCAATCCCTTCATTTCTCCTCATCAGATTTCTCCTATTATTTGGTTCATTACCAAATACTACATTCCAATCAGTCTCAGCTATGCATGTGCTTAGTGCTAAGTAGCACCTAAGATGGTGAACATGGGAAACATTATACAAGCTTAACATCAGCATGTTAGCATGCTGGCATTAGCATTTAGCTCAGCTGTTTTGTCACAATTTAGTCTTGTTCCTATCGGCTAGCTTAATATTACTGTATATCCCCATAGTTGGAAATATGATCACATATTTTCATATTTTATCCCTCTGTTCTCCTTACTGAAGAGAAATAAAACGCCTTCATCCTCCTTTACAACGAAGCAGTCAGGACAGCCCCCCTGCAGCAGCACATCTGGTTGACCCTTTGGAGTGTCTGTTGGAAAAATGTGGATATTAATAAAACATGAAATGGGTTAAGGTAAAACTATAACATCCAAATCACATTCACACGATATCTGTATCAAAATGTAAAAAATACAAATACAAGATTTTTAAAATGATAAAAAAAATTACTTTAGAGAATATATCAAGATTGAGAAATATCACAAAAACGTGTGCAACATATCTATTTCAGTGTCCTACAAATCATTTCAAAGCCTATCAGAGGGCTCAAATGTATTTGCACTATCAATTATTATTATTGTATTATTATTATTATTATTATTATTATTATTATTAGTAGTAGTAGTAGTAGTAGTAGTAGTAGTAGTAGTAGTAGTAGTAATAGTAGTGGTCTGCACTGTAAAACATTAACATAGTGAGAAGACGCAGAGACAAAGAGACAATTTAACAAAACTCTTACTGTTGATGTTGACATCAAACAAGGTGTTGTTCTCATACAAATAATCTTCTGAATTCCTATCGCAATATCCATGACTGCAAAGAATTTATTAAATATATAACAACTGAAAATACAACTTTACAGGACACGGTGATGTGTGTACAAATACTCAACAAGGTGAAAGATTGCTCACATTTTATACTTAAATTCAGCAGTGTAGATGTTCGGCGTGTCTTTGGAGGTAATGTTCACTTCAATACTTGACCAAAAAACAGAAGTCATTATAGTTGAAACCCAACAATTTTGCGAGGAAATGGCGATGAAGTACCAACTCCCACGCAACTGAAATAACAAAAGAAGGGACTCTTGTTAATTTATTAATTATTAATAGTTAATTTGTAAATGTTCAGGTTGGGTTCAGTTGACTATCATTTAATAAAGCAGTTTGGAAAATACGAAGTTAGTAATAAATGTGGAACTTACATCTGGAGCTTTGTCCACTGGCTTGAGCAGCTTCTTACAGGCCAGCGACGCAGCCTGGCACACTGAGGTGAGACTCAGCACAACAACAGCAGTGACACACAAAGTCTTCATGGTGGCTCTGACACTTGTTTGTCTCTCTGAGGTCGGTCTTATAGAGAGACCTGAGATATCACTGACCAATTATTTTTGTGCCTCATCTGCTCACCCCTGCCTTTGTGAGTACCACCCCCAACTGACCGGAATGTTAGCATTTTCAGTAAGCCTTCATGTTTACTTATCAAACTGGCATGGAAACACTGCCGTTACCAAACTGGGGGAAAAGGGACCGGGGGTCTGTGAGGGTTGGGGTTTCATGTTTTGCAGTTCTATGACAGTATGGTGTGTGTGCACCAACACTTTCGGGATCAATTCTTCCACATTTCGTCAAAGACAACCAACAATGTGTCCCAAATCCATGCTACACACTGAGATTTTGATGCTGGCTCACATGTACTAACATGCACTAAAAGCATGCACAGCCGGCCCGACTATGTCAACAAAGCATTTTAGTGTCGAAGATCAGATGACAACACACACAGGGAGGGAGAGAGACTTTGTTCTCTGTTCAGTTAGTCATTACTCCACTATATCTTTACATAGCAAAATTGTGTTTGCTGCCATATCAATGTTCAGAATGTTAAATATAGATTCTTTAAGAATAATATTTAGATTTTATGTTTGGGACGTTTAAGTGTGACCTTCCAGAGAAGCAGTATGGTTAACGCTGCACAGTTAAGGTTGTTGCAAAGTTCAAAGTTCTGGACAAGTTATACGTAGCATTGCAATGTTTTAACTCTAGTTGCCCAAACAGGAGAGCAGGTGTCTGAAAGAACATTGAACCTCAGATTTAGGAATAAAGAGGTTAGGGTTACCAACAGCCTTAGCAACCGGTCCACCTTTGTGATGCCCCATGTCAAAAATCTTGTTGTGATATTTGATTCCTCCTTTTAAGTTTGACAAGCAAGTCAATGCAGTAGTTAAAGCTATTTTTTTCCAGCTTCGCACTATTGCCAAAATGAAGCGGTTTCTCTCGTCCAAAGATGTTGAGAAATTCATCCTCGGACTACTGCAACTCCCTGTGTACTGGGATTAAACAGTTGTCCCTGCCCCGCCTTCAACTGGTCCAAAATGCAGCAGCCAGGCACCTGACAGGTACAGAGGGAACATATATCACTATGGCATCCCCCGATTTAAACTCAAGCTCAGGACTAACCGCACAGTTGCAGCTCCACTGTGGAGCAGCATCCCCCTCCCACTCAGATCTGCCCCCTCATTGACTCTTTTAAGTCCAGGCTCAAAACACACGTTTTAAAGTGTGTTCACACCTTTAGTCTTCCTGATGTGGCTAATTTAATACTTTTTTATTTTTTTTAACTTGCTTATGTGATGTTTATTTGGGAGCTCTGTGCATTGATGTTTAGGTCAGTGTTTCTTTTATGTGTGATTTTAGCTACCTGCTCTGGTCTGTACATCACTTTGGGCAACATGGGTTGTTTTTAAATGTGCTTTATAGATACAATTGATTGATTGATGCACCTTGATGCCATATCAGGAATCCTTAATTAATGAAGTTATCAGTGCAAAACGTTAAGACGTCTTTTATGATTAGGATTTTTGGGTCCAGATTCTCTGAAACTTTTTTAAAAAGCGGAAACGTTCATTTGTTAGGTCTTCTTGTTGATTTTAATCTAAAAAGACAAAGCAAGTGTCATTCTGGAGGAGAGTTAACACCAGTCAGAGAGATTTTTTGAATCAACCGGGAAACACAAAAAATGCTCTAATATAATTACTTTTAACTCATGGTAATAGTGTAATTTATTAACTACTATAAAGCATTTAAAAAAGGTTGCTTTATTAGAATGTACCAACAAAATGTGCATAAACTTTCTTGTTATTTTGGGGAGATCCGTGTGTGTGTGTGTGTGGGTGTGAGGGGGGGGGAGGTGTGTGTGTGCGCGGCTCCATTGACAGAGCTTGCATTGGAAACAAGACGTACAGACTCAGTAAGCGGAAAAAGAGTTTCATGCCAGAATGTGCAATGAGCCACTTGGTCTGCATAAACACAACATAGGCTGCACCAGCTTTCAGTGCAAGCGGCTCTGTTTGGATGTTTAGCGAGCTGTATCTTGAGTCAAGGATGTGGCTTTGTGGCTTTGTGGCTTACTTGGCCAGATAGCTTGTTCATACATCTCACCCATATATCTGAAACTGCAGTTAGATTATTGTCAAACCTGTAGAAATGTGGTATGTATGGTCTATTATAAAAAAATAAAAAACACTGCTAAAAAGCTCAGGACTTCCTCACAGGTTTCACAAGAGCATATATGCTCAGACTCACTGAGCACCATTCACTATCAAACATCCACCAGAGAGGAAGCACAATGTATGTGGGAGCAGTGATCTACACGTTGTCGGAGGTGCTCATCGCTGTCAGCTGCTGTCTTGGTAATGTTCTGGTTGTTTTGGCGCTGTGGACCAGTAAAAGCCTTCAACAGCCCACCTTCTGCCTCATTGTCTGTCTGGCTGTGGCCGACTTCATGGTTGGCTGTGTGGCCATACCGCTGGCTGTGATGGGGAACGGACAAGTGACGACTTCGTTCCACGGCTGTCTCTTCATCAACTGCGTGGTCGTCCTGTTGACCCACGTCTCAGTTTTGTGTCTTACGGCTATTGCAGTGGACCGCTTCCTCCGGGTGTATGTCCCGCTCAGGTGAGACTTTTCAGATGTACGAACGCTTCCTGAATGCAGAGGGAATTAAAATGGCACTGCCAGTGTCAGGGATTCAGTCATATCTTCTGCTAAAACGACATGCAGTCATTGTAATATGAGGTGTTTTAGATAATGAAAAAGGCTTTATGTTTGCATAACTACAATGACAAGATGTTATATGTTAAACATTTTTATACTTCTTTGAATTCTTCCTTTTGGTCAGAACACTCAAATACATCAATATTTGTTGAGGATACCAACCAACTTCTTTTCTTTTTAGGTACAAAAGGACAGTAACACAGAGACATTCTCGGCTTGTTGTAGCAGCGTGTTGGCTTGTTGCAATACCGCTGAGTTTTGCTCCCATGTTCGGATGGTACAACCACGAAACCTTGTCCAAGAAGTCAGTCAACTCTACTATTGTCTGCCAGTTTACAGCTGTGATCCCCATGTCATACCTGGTTTACTTCAACTTCTTTCTCTGCACCCTCACACCGCTGTTGGTGATGACTGTGTTGTACGGCTACATTTTTTGCATCATACGAGGAAACCTTCGAGAGAAACCAGGCAACGGTCCCCAAAAACAGTCTCAGAACTACCTGAAGAAAGAGAGGCAGCTGGCCGGGTCTCTGTCTCTGGTCTTGGCTCTGTTTGCTCTGTCCTGGCTCCCTCTCCACATTATGAACTGCATCGTTTACTTTGGTGGGCCGAACGATGTACCAGAAACAGCTTTCTATGTTGGCATCCTGCTTTCTCACGCTAACTCGGCTGTAAACCCAGTCGTGTACGCGTTCAAAATACAAAAGATCACGACGGCGTACCTGAAGCTCTGGAGGAAGTTTGTCGCATCGGGAGAAGAAAACCAAGGAACTCAGACAAGCCAGACGACAGACAACAGCAACGTGAACAGCGTGGCCAAAAATGAGTGAAGAAAGTTTTCCTTAGTTGTTCTTAATGAATGATTATACAGGCAAATTGATGAAAGCCTATCCATTATATTTGACTCATCAGAATGTATTTTATTTAGCTGATGCATGTTTTTATTGTAGAAATGTTTGATTCACAGTATCAGTTTTTTTTATCAGTTACAATGTATTCTTATAGGTTTGTGGTTAGCCGTTTTTTTTTTTCTTTAGCTATATTTAGTTCTGCATTTTGTTCTGTACATATATTTTGTGAGTCTTTCCTTTTTTGTGAATATTTACTTCTTGTCTGCTATCAACAAATAATGTGTAAAGTTTCCACTGCTGTCAGTCTTTAAGCAGAGCTGGGCTGAGAACTCTCCTCATACTGTACTATGTCTGTGTTGGACGCACAAGGTCCTCAATATATTTCATCTGACTCTGAGTTAAACTGCAAACAAGTGTACTTCCCATATCGTGTTCTATTAAAGACGTAGTTTCACGCCTAACAGGAAGCGAGAATCATCTGTAACATTTATCTGGTGGACAAAAATACTTTTTGTAGTTTAAAGCGCTGCTCCATTAGACTTTGTTGTTGTAGTCATCAATTACATTAAAAGTACTACTTTATGTTATTACAACTGATTTATTATCACTTTCCATTTAAAACACCTGATAGTATATATGAAAATAGTAGAAAGATATTATGACAACATGTATTTTAGTATGTACTTCTTTCATAAGAACACCTCTTTCATTCACTGGTGCACTGTAAAGCAAATCTCCATGCAGCTTGCAACCAGCCTACACATGGCAATAAGAACTATTTACACATTTAAATAAAAATATACTTAGTCACTATGTGTAGAATAATCATGTGATTATAGCCTTTCATCCTGACTGACATCATTCACTTTTCATCTCTTACCACAGAGTCCATGCTCACAGAGGAACATATTTTCTGGAAAGACAAATTGCTTTTGAATTTTTAAAATGTAATTTCTAACCAATTTCCTTTCATGCACTGGGACGACAGCGGAAATATCAAAGACAGATAACTCAGGGCAATTTGCAACCAAAACTATCTGCATGGCTAGAACAAGGTCACTGAGTCCCCTCATTACGAGGCCAAGCAGCAGCAAAGATAAGCACACCTATTGGACATAATTTGGATGGTAATAATACAATACATGATTTTAAGCATCAAAAAAGACTGTCATCAACAGATATGTGAAATGAGGATGTGAAATCAGTGCAAACATTTCCCCTTGGTGCTTTCATCAGCGTACTGGTGTACAGAGACCAATGTAGGTAGTGAATTCTGTCTGGAGGGATTATTAGCAGCCTTAAGATCATATCTAATGTCCAGTCATCATTCAACTGTCCTATACAACACACAGTTGACCACTGACCACTACTGAGCCTACAAAGCAGGAGCTCAGTCACATCCATTCCACATCCCGTCAACTATGATGGACATGCTACTGAGACCATGCTCCTAAAGGGAAGGATTCAATTGTTGTTTTTATCAGGGGTCTTCAACGTTTTTCAGGCCAAGGACCCCCAAACTGATAGAGAGATGGAGCAGGGACCCCCGACTATATATATATTGTATAACATTGTGTTTTATATTAAACTGGGCCTAGTGCCATGTATAAACATACCTCTTTATTATGCATTCAATACTAAGATATTCAAATAATACACAGGTTCATATATTCATGTTTTTATTTTAAACATGTGCAAGGTACAGTGAGTAGGGTGGCCGTGCCACTGCCATCTATAAACACACCTTGTCAGCTGATACCAATGCCAATATCAACATTGTCTGTCAATTACATGATAATCCTGCATACAAGATATTCAAACTGATGTTTTTATTTTAAACATAAATGTGGAAACAAAAAATGAGCGATGGCCTATTAGTGCCACTGCCATGCATAAACATACCTGTTATCTTACATGCAATACTGAACTATTAAAATAATGGACACATTCATGTTTAGAGAAAAAATTGTCCAGTCAACCAACCAAAAATTTCTCGGACCCCCTGTTGAAGACCTCTGGTTTATATGTAAGATTTCAAGTGGAAGCATTCTCTTCTTTATTGTGTCTAGTTTGCACAATAAGCATAAAACATGATGTTGAGATTACACAATTAGCACTTTGCCAAAAATGGTTAAATAATCACTAGCAATAACAAAATGATATGCTTATTCTACATTAACTATTGAAACTAATAAACATGAAAAATCTTATTTTCTTGAGTATTTTGTATGTCTATTATATATGTTTATTTTGTATACATGTTGATATTGTCTAATGTCTCTATATCGTCATGTAAGGAGACCATAATGATGTGTGTGTGTGTGTGTGTGTGTGTGTGCTTCATAACTGGTAACTAGGGCCCATCATGGTCATGTGCACTGGGGCCATCGTAAATACCTTACACCACTGCTCACAGGAGCAACCTCTGCCTTATGAGGAAGGCCTAGTTTTAATACTTTATCTTCCTTTTTTCCAATAAAGTTAGGCATTTTTGCTTACGTAAGATTTAGAATGCAGTAATTTGACTCATCACGGTGTATATTTTACATTGTGGTGTTGCAACTACCTGTAGCCTAAAGAGGCAGAGTGCACATAAAGTTTGTAAAAAGTCCAAAAAAACAAGTCCAAATGTCATAAATATATAAAGAGATCTATACCCCATAAATCTACACAGACTCTGGGAGTGGCATTCTCTTCGTTTAATCCGTAGACAACTTCTTTGGAGTACTTTGACCCTTCATAACAATTAAAATATCACCTCTTGAGTTAACTTTCTAACCAGCCCATCAGTGTCCCTGGTCTGAGTTCATTTGAGCCGCTGGTTGGACTGTGGTGCTCCTCGACAAGGACCAGATTCACAAGTTGACTTGACTTCGTAAGTTAAGCGTCATTTTATTAAAGTGTGATGTTAAAATGGAATTAGCAGACAGGTGGCATTTAAGCGAGTTTTGCGGCGATTGAATTAGTACAACGTTACACACAAGCTACTTAATTGCAGGCCTGTACCAAAGTTAAGTTAGCTAACTTGGGTTTCTTGTCACGTTAGCTCAACGGTAGAAATGTAAACTAACGGGTCCACGGGGTGTTCCGATCCGGTCCTAACTTAACACCGGGTATACCGTGATGAATGATGCTAGTGACGTTATCTGGTTCTCACGTGGTGACTTTAAAGCTGTGACCATGTTAACAGTCGGCTAACCGCTCAGGCTAGCCCAGGGGTTTGGTTATATAACTGTAAAAGAACTAACTCTTAGTAGAGACGGTAGTTGTGTGTACAGCTACTCTCTGAATAACAACACTGACTGCGGGTCTATTGCACGTTGTTAGGCTGTAATAATACAGCACAGGTCTGCAAAACAGCTGTGACAAATAGTTTGACTTTAATGATTATTTTGATTATCTGTCACTAATGTTTTGACCATGGTATCAATCATTCAGTCTAAAATATGTCAGAAAATAGTGAAAAGAAATATCTAATCCAATTTCCTAAAGCCCAATGTGAGATTTTCAAAAGGTTTGTTCCGTCCAAAACCCAAAGATGCTCAATTTAAAATGAAATAAAGAGAAAAACAAAGCAAGTCCTGATATTTCTGCAGCAACGAATGACCACACTCAGATCAAATAATGCGAGATTTCACATGTGAATCCTTTGTTTTGTTTTTCCATAGTTCCTTCTGACCATGCAGCTGGTGATCCGCCGGTACCGTCACTCAGACAAGGACCCGGTGCTCACCCTCTTCAGCAGTGGCATCAGGGAGCACATCCACCCATGTTTTCGCAACACCATGACCAGCCCTCTCAACCTCGCCATCACCCTGGCTCTGTGTGTCGCCGGCCACCTGCTCGGCTCCGTGTTGTGGGCTGTGGTGCTACCAGGAGCCTGGGTGGCCCTCGTGTACTACTGCTGTCATGAGCTGTACGGCAGCTTTGTCAGGGAGAAACTCCTGACGGACATGCAGGACATCCCTGGGAACTATCTGAAAGGACCGGATGACTGCTTCTGGGTGGCCGAGGCTGAGGTTGAAGGGAGGACCCGGGTTCTTGGTATGGTGGCCGTGGTGGCCAAACAAAGTGGGAAGGAAAGATACGGAGAACTTTGCAGGATGATCATCTCACCATCGTGCCGTCGGATGGGCCTGGGCCTCAGGCTGGCTCATACTGCGGTGGACTTCTGCATGGAGCGAGGCTTCTCCAAGGTGCTGCTGGAGACCAGCTCCACTCAGACCGCCGCTGTGTCCCTGTACCAGAAACTGGGGTTCAGCCACGTCACCTCTCACACCAAAACGTATACTTTTGATTGGATTGTAATGATGACTAAGGTGTCGATTTTGATTATGGAAAAACACCTGTAGCCCTGTCATCAGTGTCTGAATGGGTGTGAATGGGTAAAGGACACGTAGTGTTAGCTATGAACAACAACAACGCAAAACCTTAGGTTTCCTCGTAGTCTATGTAACGTATCTGAATGTTTTAAAGTTGACAATGTTCTATTTAGTTTGGACCAAGATTCTCCGACCGTCGATTACTTCTTTTATTACTGCTGTGATTTTATTTCACAAATGACCAATCAGGTTTAAGTGTCTTAAATACAAAATCATGCAAGAAATAAAACCACCTCAAATGCTTGTACACCGCTGTTGGTTTTGCTTTAACACGCCCTCTTTCGCCCTCTTTCCAACACTCACGTGCATTGACTGCAGGTTAAACATTGTCTGGAGCTCTGCTGGTATTACATCACCATAAAATAAGCCAATACAAATGTTAAAGTATAACTCCTCCCACCCAAACTGGTGCAACAAAACTAGCAGGAGGGTCACAGCTAGTCAAACACAGCCTTTTGCTTTTATCACTTATACCGTGATCATTAATTCACTACTCTTTGTAAAAAGGACACTCAGTAGTTAACTCCTGGGGTGACAAACCAAAAGAATAAACAAGAATATAGCTTCAGCATATTTCGAATAATTGCACTTTATTTACATTGCACACAGGAGTTTAAAATAATAGATGTCTGGGAGGCTACATTTATTTTGTCTCATGGAACAGAAACAAATATTTTATAATTTCTGCCTGTTGTGTTTGTGACAAAGATGTTATATTTACGTTTGCGTAGTAATTTAGATGAGCCCTCAGGCCATGAACAGAAACCAATATAGGTATTTGACCATTTCTGCCAGTTTTGACTTGACCTATTTACATATTTATACTTATCATCATAATATTTTAAGTAGACAGGTGTTCTAAAACTTTTTGCTGCCAGGGACCCCTCACAGTGGAGAAGATTTTTCAAGGACCCCCTCTTTGTAGTAACACCAATTAAGCAAATACTTACTACCATTTGTACTCCTAGATGCTATATAAACTATTTGTGTTCTAAGACTTTCAAATACTTCACACCTGTTTCATTTGATAGAGCACGTAAATACTTTTAAACTTTACTTTTAACAGGGTTTTTTTTCCACGTAATTGATTATAAAAGCTTCCAAAAAATGAACAGTATACAGACTGGCGTAGTCCTAATAAATCCAGATATTTAAAATAGCAAGTTTAAAGCTGACTTTCAAAAAGTGCTGAAACAAAAAATAAATAACTTGTTGCTGTGTGTCACAATGATAATGGAGGTAATGAACATAATATGCTCCCCCATCTGTAGATACCAACTTCTTTCATGGACCCCCATACAGAGGGCCACGGACCCCCGGGCTTTGTTTTCCTACAGCTTTGCACGGTTCAATGTTCTTTGGGAATCTCCCACAAGTCTGCCATTTTGACACTATAGGCATGACCAACAATGTGTAATATCTGCTCACTCACACCAACATTTTACAAGCAGCCCTGATGTTAATAGGAGCTGTTTCAGTCAGGAGGGTGAAGGTTGTTGATTGCGAAGTATTATTATTATAACAGTAGAGGACGCCATTGATCTGAGCAACACTGAAGCACCCCGTCTGAGACGCAACTCACTAGTTTCTTGTATTTGCAGTATTTACTGTACATGATTATGAGCCCTTTACAATACCTGTGATGTGTGTTAATAAAACTGTAGTGAGAGTCAAAGCACATAATGATGTGAGAATGACGGTCCAGTCCACATGTACTAACTAAAGTAACTTAAGTACATTAATAAGGACTTTTTGCATACATGTTTGAGGTACATGGGCTTCACAGGGTATTCCACTACATTTAGTTATGGTTACTTTACAGATTCACATCATCCTGTAATATATGACGCACGGTTACAGATTAAACTACCCAACAGTTTAACAATAAGTTGAAGTCGGTTAACATTTTAAATTAGCTCAAATTTGACCAGCTACAACATTAGAACTCTTACGCAGTAATGGACGAGTAGGGATAATCCGGTAATATAATGAGTACTTGTACTTGATACTAATGCATTTTGCTGATAATACCTTTGGACTCCTACTTAAACATTTGGATGCAATACTTTTACTTGTCCTAGGAGTATTCTTATATGGCGGTATTGATACTGAAGTAAAATATCTCTATACAGGGAAATAAACACCTTTTATAGTGTAAAACAGCCCTACTGGCCTGTTTTTAAGATCACCGTTTGTTGGTTTTTATTGAGATTGAGGTGGCGATCCATCATATTTAACCTATAGTAGTGTCGGTGTCTATGAAGGCACAATTTGTAGAATCGCCATATGATTTTATAGCATTATTCAAATAATTCTGTTTACATGAACAAACATATAACCAGGATACTATTGCCCTCACGATGTCTGCCTCAGTGTGTGCTTTTTTATTCTACCACTGGGAGGTGCCAAAGGTTTAGAATCCAACACATTGAAGCTGGAGATGCTTGTTACTACTTTGTTTTAAGGCTTGAACTAGACATGACATGAATATTGACAGGGCACTGATGTGTATGTTTACACTGTCCCGGAGACCTCTAGACGTGTTTCATCCCACAGAGAGGACACATGGCGTCGTAGAGGTGAACAGTTGTCTGAATGTGGACGATGTGGAGAGAAGAAGCTGCTTGGGGAGTTAAAATGTAGTAACAATAATGATAATCATTTAATAATATGATAATCATCCAATAATATAATAATGAGACTCTGACAGAGGCCAGTGAGTGCTTAGACTTTTAAAACTTTAAACACATTTTGTTGATAATACTTCTGTGCTTTTGCTTAAGTGATATTTTCAATGCAGGACCTATAATCGTTACTTGTAGTATTTTTATACCTTAGTATTGCTGCTTTTACTTTAGTACAACATCTTAATACTTTTCCAATATGTTGTGTTTTGTAACTACTGCAGAACATTTCATGAACAGTACCTTTTTTTGGAGAAAACAAGTGACTATACCATCAAATGCTCCCCGCTGGTTTTAACTGAGAAACACACACACACACACACACACACACACACACACACACACACACACA